ATAACATGACCTCATGAATCATTTGAGTTCTAACTTGGTGAACGTCAATTACAAAGTAGCGTATCGTTCCCCAGAATAAAAGCCAGATCTTAGTAATTTACGTTTCAATCACGTACAATAGGGAGATGTGAAGGAAGAAACAGCATCTAAAAGAGGAAATGAGCAGTAGCCAATGAATGGGCAGTTCGCATCCATATAGGCCACCAGGCTAATTACAATGGCGGATCACTTCTAGTGACAACCGGTTATTCTCTCCCTGTGAATTGCTTACTTTAAAGCTTCCAAAATATTAATTGGCAAGAAGTTATTTTTAAGGGAATAAAGGAATATTACAGAATCCTGAATTTCAGGTGACTTCATTACCAGTGTCAATTGGGTTTTTAAGACTGCTGTCTTTTTCACAGCATGAAATGGCATGAAAGGCAACTTTTGTTTGCTTGTCTTAAAATATATCATCAGCGACCTTGTATTGTAAGCACCTTCGATTTCAAGATCTTGAAGAAACAGCATGGTGATTTGTTTTGTGGCAAAATGACTGTCCCAGACAAGAGAGACCAGGCATGTCACCTATAGAAGAGATACCAGGTCTGTCACCTATAGAAGAGAGACCAGGTCTGTCACCTGGCTCCTCTGGAAAAAATGCACAAAATCATTGTCATCGAATCAATTCTGACTCATAGTGCCCCTACAGGTTGGGATAGAACCATCCCTGTGGGTAAATCATTATTAGTGTAAAAGTCTCTTCCTTCTCCTGAGGAACAGTTCACAACTTGGAACCAATGACTTTAAGATTAACAGCCCAACCCGTAACCCACTGTGCCACCAGGGTTCCTACCTGCAGAATGACAATTCTGAGTTCCTTACTAAGCACTCTTCCCAGGGGTAGATCAGTGGTGGAATTCCACTTCCACACAGAGGATCAGAATTCAGTTCTGGGCCAACACATCCCATCTGTGGAAACTTGCATGTGGTTATAAAGCTAGATGTTATATCACCTGTAATTCAAATCTCAGCAGGGTCAGTCATAGTGAACAGATGGCAAAGAGCTACCAGGCTAAGATCGATGTGGAAGAATGGCCTGGCAAACCGCATCTGAAATCAGCCCGTGGAAATCCTAAGATCACCACAGGTCAGCGCCCCCGCAGCTCCTGAGACTAGTGTTAGAATTGGGCAGCATTTCACTGTAGTGTCTTTGGGGTCACCGTGACCATAGAAAATAATAGCTGACTCCATTCCAATTATGAAGTCAACTCATTGTGCCAAGACTTGTTCTGAACCTGCTCAAAAGAAGATCATATTCATGTTGTTCCTTCTGTTGTCTTTGTCCCTGAATCTATCCCATGTTTGACGACATGACATGGGGGGAAGCCCAGTACACCCCGCACTGCTAAAACACTGGCTTGTATCAACCAAGACACATTTTATAAGCTCATCTTTGCCTCAGGTAGTAAGTTACATCAGGACTATAATTGTCTCCACTTGAATTAAAAGTTTAGGTTTGTTTGTTTTTGTTTTTTTTCCTTCTCTGTGAATTGTTTATTGCCTCCATATTTAAAGACTGCTGAAGAACTTATCTTTTATTTCCCACAGAGAAAAATTAACTCAGACATGAGATTGTCGGGGAGAGTTTTCTTCAGTCTCTGAAATATTGCACAGATTGAAGTCTCACCAAAGGGCGTTCAGGAACACTGTAGGACGCAGCTCCAAATGTACATGTGGAAAAATATCTATGGCCAATTTAGCCCGGTGAGGTGCCTGTGAGAAGCTAACAAAATGAAACTTTCCATGAGACCCAGTGTTTCAATCATTTTATATGGTTATCTCTTAAAAGCATCTGGTGAAGAAGTAATCTAATGCTTGCATCTTCCAGTTATTCCAAAAAATCTTAAAGGCTGCCTGTGACACCTGTGCTTCAAAGAGAGATTGTGCCCGTGCGAGATGGAAAACTGTCCTACCGGAGATGTATGGGAATGAAAGGCGGCGACACCCGCCAAGTGCAAGACAAAAGCCCTCTAATGGAAAAACGGTGACCCAATGGTTCATCACAGATCTGGAAATAAGGCGGAAAATATCTTTGGTATGTTGCTAGTTGCCATCCAGTGGATTCCAATTTGGGGCAAATTTATGTCTCCAGGATAGACCTGATCCGTAGGTTTTCAAGGCTGTGATTTATTGCGAGCAGATTGCCAGGCCTGACTTGTGAAGGGAGGGGCTCGGGGTGGGTAGTAGAATACCAGCCCGTTGGTAGTAGCTTGACCTCTTGCAATATATCCTCTCTTTTTCACTAGAAGGGGTGGACTGGGGGGTGGGCAAGTCATGACCAAACACTCAGAGGACAAGAACTCAGTCAGAAGATGAGATAGCAGGGTTTTGTTTTGGGGGAATGATTTCATAATCTATGTTTTCTTTTTCAGAAGAAATTTGCTACCATTTTTACAATGTAAGGCATCAGCAAACCTTTTTGAGGAGGTGAAATGGGCAGGAGACAGTTCTCCTATGTCTAGCTGCAGACAAGCTGTTTTTCTGGCAAGTTACATCCAACCTCAGAGAAAAATAATATACTTCTTAAATGGGACCTTACAAACAATGGGACTTCTTACCAGAATGGTGTCTTTGGTTGTTTCAAAAAGATTGACGAACTCAGAAACCTTGTGGAGTAGTTCGACTCTGTCTTGGTTAGACGAGACTCAGCGCAATTACCTTTGGTTTGGGGTGGGTTTAAACCCGAAGGATGGTCTAGAGGTCAATAGCTTCACCATTTGCACCCAGAGACTCCCTAAAACGTTTCCTATAGAGATATTTTCTCTCCAGAAGGCAAATAAATGCTGTATTAGAGAGAATGCAAATGTATTTTCCTGCACTATATGCAGTCCTCAAAGAGATTCAATAGACATTAAGATAAATTTTTGTTTCATCTATATAGGCAACATTGTATATAAATATCTACCAGGCATTTTTCCTAGGGAAAAAAATGCTTTTCAAATTTTGTCCTACCTATACCTTCCCTCCTGCCTTTTTGTGGAAGTATAAATGCTTATAGCTTTTCTATTTAAAGAAATTTCAAGGCTTACCTGTTCTATAACAGCTTTCCTCACAGCTTCTTTTTCACACTTTTAAATCTTAGTTTTATTGTGCTTTTACAGCAAGTTTCCTACAAAAAGCATTTGAAGAGCTTTGCTAAATTAATTCAGAATTTCCCTAGCTTAAAATGCGTGAATGCATGCCTTTTTATGTTGAAGACTATTCTACCAGTAGATAACTTTTAATCCGGGTCATTTTCATGGCAAATTAAATTCATGATGGTGTTAATTATTGGAAAAAAACTAAAACCTTGTGCTAAATATTGAGGATATTTTGTGAGGCATGAAGTACTAACCGCTGAGGGTCTGATACTTGCAAAATGCTGTTGTTGGGAAAGTGTCCTACATGGCCTGTGTTTGGATGTTCTGACCATGTTCTCCATGAGAGAGTATTTGGGTCTAAAGAAATGTCTTTTCTTGGCATGACAAACTTCAAAACTCTTTGCTGAAGCTGAATACAACAGGCTATAGAACAATACAGAACATTCCCCATGGCTTTCTCCACAGTTCATACTATTCTGCCTCTGCCTGCAGTGAAAAATTAATATATCTTAATGTAAATAAATTGTTATGAAATCTATCAGACCTTAGTTTTATAATTTTTAACTAACTGTTACATTCAGCAACAGAAAGAGATGGTTCAGAAACCCTACAGCTATAGCAACTATGCTAAAGCGATTAATATTATGATTGACCAAGACACTAGCCAAATTCAGATTCTTTATCTGTAAAATGGAAATACATATACTGCACCAGGTTCCTTTACAGCCCTGTTAAGACTGACTCCGATATTCTTTTCTTTTTCTCGGATTTTCAAATACCATTCATGATTTGTGGTAAAATTTAAAAAATAATAATGGGAATACAACATTTGGTATCCTCCGTAGGCAACAAATTATCTTAATTTCTTTAAACAAATGTTTAACTTTATTGACAAATATTTGAACTCCATAAGGACAAATAGAGTATTTAAGATGATGAATATTGCTGTTTAGATTCTTAATGAGAAATACAATATACATCTTAATCTTCATCAGGGCATTATAAAACATCATAATATTAAAACATTATAAAGCAATATCCCTTCTTCATAAGATCCCGGGGGACATTATATAATTGTTGTGTTATGCAAATAAAGAAAACAAAAACAAGCCTATAAAAAAGACTTTGGTGATATTTGACATGTCTCCTCCACTCCCAAAATGAATGTGGGATGGAGGCAGGGAAGGCAAAGGGGAGTATGAATTAAAAATAAAAAGTAAATATAGTAAGTATGCTGGGCCTTTTTCTTTTTCTGGAATCCTCTCCATACGTGACTTTCTGTACTTTGTCTCTTTTCCATTTGTCAGCTGCAGTGACATGGTGCCTGCATGTGCTGCCTCTCGTGCCCTGGAGGCTGTGCAGCAATAAATTCGCGTGAAACAATAGCATGTGATCCTTCTGGTTACAGCAGTTAATAACTAGTTAAGCGACATTTCTGCTCCAATGGCTGTTTTCATCACCCCAAAGCAGTCTCTTTCATCCCATCCCATTCCTCAGCTCTTCTTCAACAATGCCCCAACTTCCTCCACACATCTCTAGCTCCAGGCCCCCAGTAGAGAAGGCAAGCCCGCAAGTCCAAGGTCCTAAGCACCTAGAAATTCGATTCAACAAGGCAAAAAAGAGAAAAAAAAAAGCATCCTCCGGGGATCGGGGTCGGGGTGACGAATTGGGAAATTAAATAAAGAAATGCTCCTGCACTCTGGAAGCCTTGAAGCCATCTCCTGTGGGTGGGCTGCTGCGGTCCAAGTTCCCCCGCAGGTGGGCTGCGGTGCAGCGCGTAGAGAGTTAAAGGCATCATCGCAGCCATTAGAGGGAAAAGTTGCGGTGCGGCGAGCCCTGCGAAGTCCTCCAGCCCGCCCGCCCCGCCTTGCCCACTCCCCACTCGCGGGCTGGCTCGCTGTTCTGGGAGGGTAGTGATCACGCAAGCCGGAGCAGTGGGCTGACGTTGGAAGAGCTGCCAGGTAGCTGAAATCGGGCAGCAAAGCTACCGGAGCACTTGCAGCGTTTCCAGCCTGGGTCTGGACTGGGAGCCTCCGGGAATCGGAGCCAGCTTGTTGTAACCTTCCATACAGCAATCCCCGCTCTCCAGAGCCAGTGCTCGCAGGCAGTGAGCAGCAGGATGTTTGCAGTGTCGCGCCCAGGGCTCTGAGACAGAGCTTTGGGGGGCATCTGTATGCCTTTCTTTTAGGACTTTCTGGCTGCTGGCTAGGCTGATGTGAGCCCCCCTCTTTTTGTTTTGTTTTTTTTGTTGGAATGATGGGGATCTTTTTGGCGTATGTTGGATTTGTTTTCTTTTCCGTTTTATATGTACAACAGGGGCTTTCTTCCCAAGGTAAGTCTGCTCATTGGTAAATATACATTTGGGGTATGTGTGTGTGTGTGTGTGTGTGTGTGTGTGTGTGTGTGTGTGTGTTCTATACATTCAAAGAATGGCCAAACAGAGGGATCCAGGTTCCTAGCAAGTAACGGGGGTAGGTTGCATGGAGAGTATTTCATTTGGCATTTTGCTTTAAAGTTTATTCAATTTGAGGTAAGCTAGGTTTGACACATAC